AGAGAAAAGAGCCAGCAGTAATTTAATTTTAAATTTATAAATATAAATTTGAAAAATTATATAACATATAATATATAATTTTTATATACTCCTTAAAATAATTAAGGGATTAAAAGAATTGTCCAAAAAATAAGCAAATTTTAAATAGCTGTAATTTTATTTCCAAAAATGATAATTTAAATTTAAAAAAAGGATATTAAAGCTTAAAATTTTTATCTTCCAAAGGTATATCACACTGTAGAGCAAAGATTCAGTTTAAAAAATCTATTCTTAAAATTGCTGTACGATGATTTTTAACGAAGTTATGAACAATTAAAGTGAAAATGACATTTTGTCTTCACTTTGTGATAACTTGATAAGGAAAGATTAAAATTTAAATTTTAAAAAACAATTTTGCAGAGAAAACTTCAAGCTTTAACGTGAAAATATCAAAAAATTTTGTCAAATCTTTTTGTATATGTGACATGTCTACAAAGTGAGAAGAAAATTTTCCATTTAAGTTAAGTTCGTCGTTTTCTGTATGCAAAAATATTAGAATTGAAGAAAATAAAAAAAGCTATGACTTTTCGAAAGTAGAAATATCAAGCTTTAAAATCCTTTTTTAAAATTTAAATTCTCATGTTTTGAAACAAAGTTACAGCTATTTAAAATTTACCTATTTATTGATTCCTTCAATTATTTTCAGGAGCTTTTATATTTTTTAGTTATTATATTTTAATATATTTTAGTTATATTTTATTTTTATATTTCGTTATATTTTAGTTATTATATTTTATATAATATATAATTTTTTTAATTTATTCCGTAGCCGAGAAACTAACAAATTACTACATAATATTTGTCTCTTATTATTATTATTTTTTTTTATTATCTCGTGAAATCTTACTAGCCGATCTGGCACGGACCTGAAGACCGTGTAATTCGTAAAGTGTCGTAATAATTCGGAGCTTTTATATTTTTTAGTTATTATATTTTAATATATTTTAGTTATATTTTATTTTTATATTTCGTTATATTTTAGTTATTATATTTTATATAATATATAATTTTTTAAATTTATTCCGTAGCCGCGAGAAACTAACAAATACTACATAATATTTGTCTCTTTATTATTATTATTTTTTTTATTATCTCGTGAAATCTTACTAGCCGATCTGGCACGGACCTGAAGACCGTGTAATTCGTAAAGTGTCGTAATAATTCGGAGCTTTTATATTTTTTAGTTATTATATTTTAATATATTTTAGTTATATTTTATTTTTATATTTCGTTATATTTTAGTTATTATATTTTATATAATATATAATTTTTTAAATTTATTCCGTAGTCGAGAAACTAACAAATTACTACATAATATTTGTCTCTTTATTATTATTATTTTTTTTTATTATCTCGTGAAATCTTACTAGCCGATCTGGCACGGACCTGAAGACCACGTAATTCGTAAAGTGTCGTAATAATAATCGGGTGCACACAGGCAAAAGGTAGAAGGTAGTGTGGCAACGCGAGTTTCACAAATGGGTCAGCTGATAGGAGGACGAGAAGGAAAGCGACACGCGTATACATATTCGGGTCCCCGCGGTATATTTATTTCTTGTCGGTCTCATCTCTCTTTCAAAAAAGAAAGCCTCCCTCCTCGCGTCTGAACATGAAGGTCATCTTCTCTCCTTTTCGTACGCGCACGTGCCCGGATTCTCTACAAGCTGCCTTTCGCCGCTTATGCGAGACACGAGTTACGCCGTCGAAAGTTGGATAAAAATAATGCTCTTTCTCTCTCACGGTGATATAATAATGGGGAGGTAAACGAAGATTACAACAGAAGAACACAAACGAGGATCTGTTTTTTATTTTGCTATAATTTCCTTTTTTTTTACATATAGTTATTAAAAAACATGTAATTGCTCATTGCATACTGGAATGCATAATATATATATTTTTTTAAATCGGAAGAGTATGCTTTTCTTACATCGATTAATTTATCTCATTATTCTACGCAGAAAATTATTAAGATAAGATTATTTAAAAAATGTGTATTACGAAATATTTTATATTTTTTGTTAAAATTTGTCAAAATGAAACATAAAATATTTTGTAAACCATTTCGTAAACTCATATTTCGATTATTCAACTCTAACAATTTTTTACGTTAAATATTACAAGAAATCGATTTATGTAAGGAAAATCATGGTGATTTTATTTAAAAACTTTTGAAATAAAAACGTTAAAAAACATTTAATTTGTATGAAACATTTTTCAATAGAAGATTTTCGAAAAATAATGCATTATTTAAAATAGGACCCTAGTATATATCATAGACTTGACTCAGAATCCAAACCATCTTTTTCTTCTTCTTAATTCTTTTTGACCCAGTCGCAGGTACTGGCGGCTTTCGGCCATCGGGTATAATTGATATTTAAAACAGAATCAGAACAAGACACAAAGGAAACAATTTTTCAGACGAAACACGTTTGAACGTGTCAAAGAACGCGAACAAACTTTTGAGTCATCTTTTGAATTGCCAAAAAGTAACAGGAACAGGCTTTGCTTGCTCTTGTAATTTTTTGATTTGCTTTCAAAAATATATAAAGGTCTATCACACACAAGTAATTAAAAAAGGAAAATAATTAATAATAAGAGCTATTATTATTGTTGTTGAATATGAATAATGATAATAATAATTCTTACTATTAATTATTTTTCTTTTTTAATTACTTGTGTTATTGTAAAATTGTGTACGATAGCCTTTATGTGCACTCATTGTCAATGCGCATTAGTGCAACCAACCGAATTCGTTATCAATTTATATCAATGTGTCATCATTTTGGCCGTCTCGTAGCCATATCCATAGAATGTGTAATCCATATTATAATATAGTACCAAAAATAAGATTCTACATATATATATATATATATATGTACATATATAAAATAGAATCTTATTTTTGGTACTACATTATAATATGGATTACACATTCTATGGATATGGCTACGAGACGGCCAAAAATGATGACACATTGATATAAATTGATAACGAATTCGGTTGGTTGCACTAATGCGCATTGACAATGAGTGCACATAAAGGCTATCGTACACAATTTTACAATAACACAAGTAATTAAAAAGAAAAATAATTAATAGTAAGAATTATTATTATCATTATTCATATTCAACAACAATAATAATAGCTCTTATTATTAATTATTTTCTTTATTATATATATATATAAAATAGAATCTTATATATATTTATATATATATATATATATATATATATATATGTAATTATCTCTTCTATATATATATATAAAATAGAATCTTATATATATATATATATATATATATGTAATTAGACTGGTAAACACTGCTTCAGATACTCTTTCTATTTCGTAAAAGGATGTACTGTGAGAATAAATTTGTGCGTCATATATTTTTTAAATTAACGACATCGAAAAAAATTTTTTCTATTGATCGAGTGTTGAACATCGGATCGAATGCGGCTCTATATATATATATAATCATACATTAAGATTTTTTTACAATTTAAAATAATTTATTTTGGTCAATTATCCAATATCGTTTCGAATTACCCGAAATTCATTCAGTACATGAATCGTTCACAAAAGAAAGACGAAATAGGAAGCGTGTCTTGTGCGCGTTAATTAAAAGTGATGCAAAGGAAGTCGCTAACTAAGAAAGGGCGAGGCTGAATGAAAACAGCTGCTACTTGATGACGACACAGTCTAATAGCGCGCGTTAATCTGGATTGAAGCTACCGTCATTTATTTTTACGAGCGTGTATTAAAAATATTGTTTGTGCCTCCATCGCCTTTTCTTATAAGCGAGAATTTGTAATTTTTTAAATTATTTTAGTTGTCATTATAATGATTTAAAAATCTTCTGGATATATAACGTATATAAAATATAGTTATAAACTGGATTTTTTATTGATTGATTTGAGTGAAGTATGTGAAGTTAACCCCTCATTTTTAAAATTTTGAAAAATTCTTTGAACTTTTCAGGGGGCTATAGCAGAACTCTCAATAAAATTTCAACAAAAATTGCGGATTCGAAAATTTTTCCACGCAGTATTAAAATTTTTTTTCGATAATCGGCAGTTCTGTTGGCAATTCTGGCAGCCCTCCCGAAAAGTTCTATCGATTACCTTTATTGTTTAATGCGCTAAAATGAATAGAAAAAAGTTATATGGCCTCAAAGTTGGAAGAAGTTAGCCCTCCGTAACTTCAAGTGCTATTTTTGATGCTTTAAACGACAGAACTATTTCTAAAGTCGATAGAGAACTCTAGAACTATTAAGGGGCAGCCAGAACTCTAATAATTTTTTCAAAATTTAAAATATAGGGAGCTAACTTCACATACTTGATTAATTTATGTATATTTTCGGCGGATTCAGATTTTTAAAGATTATTTTTTTTTATACATTTTTTTCTACAAGATAAAAATAATAACTGAAGCAATTGAAAATCTATTCAAAGGCTTTGCAGCTATTAAATGTTAATTTAAATAATTTTAATGTAATTGCTTTAATATAAATTCTGTTATAAATTACTTTCATTGTATTCATAGTCCATATTTGTCCTTTTGATAAAGTTAGAACAAATTCGTTTAATAAAAGTTAAGTAATATATGTATCGATTAAATGAAAGAATAACATATTTATCGTAATGTGTTTGTGGCAATAGATTTCGATATGAACTATATAAGGATACGCATAAACTTAACGAAAATATAGCTAATGAACTCGAAATCTGAGTAAATTAGCAACTTGATATAATTGTCCTTATATGGTTTCATGCTTTTTTATAATATTTATAAAAATTAAATAGTATAAGAATTTCAAAATAACTTTGGTTTTTTGAAATTTACAAATAATTGTCGGTTCCAATATATGTATATAATTTTCAAAGAACAAACAGTAAAATGATTAAAGATGATTAAGAATGATAGAATAATATTTATGTGTGAGTTTTATAAATTTCACATACCTCGTGTCCTCATTTCTGTTCGGTACAAAACTTCGGTCCAATCTGAAAAAAAAAATAGTTATTCATATGCTTGATATATTGCATCTAGATAAAAAATTTATCATATTAATATTAATCCGATAGAAATTTTTGTGATAATATTATTAAGCATAACAAAGTTTATATTTGCTGATTACAAAAAATATTTCTATTTTTATGATAGAATATAATTAATGAAGAAATAAATAAATTATACGCCAAGAATTATGATTTTGACGAGTTTTCTTCAAACGCGTTTATTTATTTATTTATTTATTTTCGTAGGAACAGATATTTTGCGAATACAAAATACGAGTTCCGATAATTTTGGGAATTATTTAAGAATCGTTCAAATTAAAGTCTAGGAAACAGTGGAAGGTGAAAGCAAGAGAAAGAGAATGTATTATTTATTTATTCGATATTCCGAGGAAACATCCCTCAAGCGCGAGACAATAGATGGAGATTGTAAACACAAAGTTTGCGATTTATGAATGGACGCGAATGTGAGACAACGTATGTATGTGTATGTATTGTTTACATATAAATATAATAGGCTGGCATGGCGAATATGATATAGAGTACGCGTCGAGAAGGAAAAGAGACAGAGAGCGAATAATATTCGAGTCAATAGTTCGATAAATAGGGTGTAAAAATTTAATTTGAACTCTCAATAATGCAAATTCCGCGAATCTTCAAAGAGATAAAGTTATATTCATTTATTTTACAATTTTGCGCGCTGCATCTGATAAATTTCCGACCGATAAAATAACGCGATAACATAGCAGCGAAATATTCTTTTGCTTTCAAAGTAAAGACGTGTAAGTGGTTTTTTAGTTAATTATCGAGAATAATTTTTTTGCGCGGAAAAAACAAATCGAAATTTATACAGAGAAATATATCTATGTTGAATGTTAATTGAACTAAATTAGACATTATTTAGTATTTTTATTATGTCGAGGGTTGTTATATCAAACACGTGTCAAATATGTGTAGGCAGTTTCGTTTTGTTCAACATTACTGCAACAAAATTAATCGAAGAAAATACAATCGAAAAAAAGAATCTAAATGAAAATTATACAATAATTTTGTCAAACTCTCTAATTATTTCTAAAGTAAAGAATTGATACAGCTCTATCAGCTTATTCTATGTGAAAATTACAGTTGAAGTTTCGAGCAAATAAAAGCGAATAATTAATGTTATAATTCTATTCCGATAAAATTTACAAAACTAAATTTTTTAAAAAGATATTTTTTTTAAATATGTTAATTATCACATGTGAGTAACATAAGTTTGGTTCAAAATTTATTTGAAATTAAAGTGTTTGCGCACAAATTTATTTATAATAATTATAATTATTTATCTATTATATAATTTTGCATATTGCTTTCATTTAAGCAAAATCCAGATCATATAGGTGTGCTGTGTAGAATTATATAATATTTTTCGTTTATAAACATATAGATAAAGTCATTTGAATGCTGTTTGTATTAAGCCAAAGTTTTATGGATTCTAATTGTATTTATTATATTAATTATATTATAGATTATATATATTATTGACGTTCAATTACGAATAATAGCCGAGTAATTAACTCACGAAAAGATTCTAAAAATTTTTTATTTAATTATTAGTTAGTTCGTGTCCGTATTTAAGCAAAAGATTTCATAAATATAAAGCATTGCATCATCTCTCTCTTTCTCTACGACCATAAAACACTATTTTATATTCACGATCTATACTTCATTCCTCTCATTGTCAGCCATAGAGCCACACGCGATGTTATTGCGATAATTAAGAAAGAAAATTTGGAAACTAAGGAATTTGTATCTTATGTTTGGGATCTCAGAAATTTCCCTTATTCCTCTCTTAACTTCTCCTGTAAAGAAATAGGCGAGACTTTCGGACTAATATTTTTCTCGCCTATTTCTTTAATTAAGAGAGGAAGAAGGGAAATTTCTGAGATCAACCATAGGATACAAATTCGTTAGTTTCCAAATTTTCTTTCTTAATTATCGCAATAACATCGCGTGTGGCTGAGAGGAATGAAGTGTAGATCGTGTTTTTAAAATTTAGGAGCCGACTTAATATTCTTATTACTATTTTATATTATTTATTAGATATAATAAGAATACTTTTTAAGTTAGCTCTTTTAATTTTAAAGAAAGAAAAATTTTAATTTTAGAGAAAAATATTGGTCCGAAAGTTGGAAGAGCGGTCGCCCGTCAAGCGGAAGATCTCGGTTTCGTTTCTCCATTCCAGGAGACTTTGTGACCAATATTTTCCCCGCCTATTTCTTTACAGAGGATGTTAAGAGAAAGAACAAGGGGAATTTTTGAAATCCCAACCATAGGATTCAAATTCCTAGTTTCCAAATTTTCTTTCTTTCATAATTGTCGCAATAACATCGCTCTATTGGTCGAGAGGAATCAAGTGGAGATTGTGATTTATTAGATATGTTATGTATGACATTTGATTAGCGCGCGATTCTGCGATCTTGTATTTCTCTTTATACTTTTTTATATATTAAATATATACTTCCTTTATATCAAAGATATAATATAACAAGACAGAACTTTAATATTCGAATATTAAATTTTCATTGTTTTATTCATTCAATTTTAAAATAAATTATTAAAAAAAATTAGATGATATTTAGAATAATCGAATCTAAATGCTCAAATAGTACTATTAAATATTTATTGTATGCTTTTCATTATTAAACATTCCATAATATGAAACATTCAAAATATAATATATTAGAAATTAAAAGAAATATTTATAACTATTATAACATTAAAAATATAAAAAAATATATAGATATAAAATATAAATATAATATTCTTTTTTCACATTTTGATAAATGTAAATACAAAAAAAAAAGAAAAGAAATGTATATTTCGTAAAACGGAACGGTCGCCATGATCTGAGTTAGACGATATGCGAACATCGTCTGATCCGTACACGTACGTCCGACGCAGCCATGACGTCACATCACGTGGCCGGCTTTTTCTATTGTCAATTTATGTTGTTAATCAATAATAAGAATCGGCTCTTTTAATTTTACAACACGATATACACCTCTTTCTTCTCGGCCACAGAGAAACACGTTGTTATTGCAAAATTAAGGAATTTGAGAATCTGTATCCTATGGTTAATCTCACAAATTTTTCTGTACTTCTTTTTAAGAATTGCATCATTCCCTGTACAGAAATAGGCGAGAAAAATATTGGTCCGGAGGTTGGCTAAATCGGGAAATTTCTCGCCTATTTCTGTACAGGAGAAGTTAAAAATAGATACAGGAGAATTCTTGAGATCCCAACCATAGGATGCAAATCCTTAATTTCGGAAAAATATCGCGTTTGGCTCTGTGGCCCTGAAAAATAAGGTGTATATTATGCTGTTAATATTATAAAATGTATAAAGAGAAGTAAATAAAAATTAGTCTAGAATAGTTTTATAATTTTCCGTTGATAAATATATTAAATATATCACATAATATAGTCGCTTATTACAGCTTAACACGTGGTTAGCACGTGCTGGAAGAAGAGAAATTGTCGAATGGATGATAGAATGTCTTTGTTAAATAATTAAATTTTGTAAATTTTATTAGAATAAAATTATTGATATTTCGATTTACATACGCACTATACATATACGAGTGGATATTTGATTGTTTCTTTGACATACCTTGTACAACTAGGAGTTTCTTTCTGTTCCATTGCATACAATATTGCATACAAAATTAAGTTTCTGACGATCCTTTGTTGGAATATGTTGTGGCTGTCTCACAATTTCAATTTAGTTTTAATTTTGACTTGTATATTTTTAACTAACAATTGATATTGATTGCTGTATGATGAGTTAATTATTACTAAATTTACTTTCTCACTTGAAAAGGACCATATGGTCGAAACGCCGTGAAATTTAATAAACGAAATTTGCTAGTTTGGTCGATTATTTACAAAACGCAAAATTAAGTTTATTAGACAAAACTTAGAAAATTCACAGAATTAAGTAACTTTTACGTTAAGAGCAACCTTTCCGAACAAAATTTTGTCAAGAGTAGTCGACTGAGGAATTTCCGCTCTTTCGGCGACAAAGGTATCCTCCCTTCCCTATCTGTAGGGAACTTTAGAGAATCCTAATAGGTTCTCGCGTCAACAAAATGCGATCCTCTATAAGACATTAGTCGCTTATATGGTAGACCTTGGTGGGAAAAAAGGTGGAGCCGGAATAGAAATGTTTATTGAACTTCCTTTTTTTTGCAACATATGGGCTGCATTTGCATGCTTTGACTATAAGCATCTTCTGTCTTGATTTAATATTCGATGTGCATAACAAAAGTGTCAAAGCGCCACGATTGACCTTCGTCTTGTCCAATCAACAATTTCTGCGTATTTACATTCTATGTGCAAGTTTTTTTATAAAAGTGTAGAACAAAGAAAGAAAAAATAGAATGACAGTGAAAAGCGAGAGGCAATCAAAATTCTGTTCTATATCTTTTATTAATTTTTTTCTATTACTTTTGTAGTTATGTAGATATATAATAGAAATTCGGCGAATTAAAATTATGGTCATAGGTCAGTATTCATAGTCTGATCTTATATTAAGATCGTCTTAAGTCCGAATTTGGTTTGAGTTCCGTCATTTGATTGGTTGAAAATTTTAGTCAACCTCCAACCAGAATTACAGGGCGTTACTACAATTTTAGAGTAAAACGGACTACAGCTTACGACATTTCATTGTAGATGGCCCTTAAGATGATCTTAAATATAAAATCGGACTATGAATAGGAGCCATAGCATCAAACAACTGTCATTGCAAAGATTAACAATTTGACAATTGTAAAATAAACAATAGAAATCATTTCAATGAGCCTTATGATGGCCTCTCTCTGGACATTTTTGCTGAGGAAAAATCGTCTCCAAATGAGTTTTACTTGTATATTAAGGAGTCTTAAAAAGAGCGGACTTTATGAAATATAGAAATGGTACAATATCGGCGACTTTTCCCTATATTGTATGTTTGAATTTAATTATTTTTTTTTAATAAAAACGGTTTAAATTTTTTTTATAATTTATCGTGTTTTACAAATATTCGGTATTTATGAAAAGAGAGAAGAGCAATGCTTTTTTCCTTTCTAAGTAAAATCAAAGTCTGTATAACGCACATATATGTATATATATATATATGTGTGTATTATTTATACTTTATTTATTGTATTGATTTGTAATTTACGCGGAAAGTTTCGGGGGAAATTAATCTCGCATGCAATATTGAGCGTTCAATATTCGACGACCGACGATTTAATTCGTATAGCCGATTATTATCACGACTACGTTACGTATGTTGGACCGGATTGGTCAGCTGACGCACGTCACGATTTTACTGAAACACGTAACAGCGCATATCCATCTTACGCGGAATATATTTAGAACGCGTTGTTATCCCGACACACACACACACACACACACATATATATATATATATATATATATAAACACACATACATACACATGCGCATCACGAAATCAGCCATACGATTTGCCCGCCATGTTTGCAATCTGCCGGCTCGCCTGACGTTAATGCCTGCCCGCGATTGTTGTGTTATTAAACACCAACATGCGCCAATAACCGGCTTTTCTTTAATTTGATTTCCCATTCCCCGTTTTAACTATTATCGTGAAAATGTTATTATTGCATATATCCACATGCGAGCGCGATATACTTCTAATATTACTTCCATTCGCATATATCGGATTTTGTAATTATTATTGTCGCCACGAATGTTACTGTTGTTACTATTATTGTTGTTGTTGTTATTATTATTATTAATATCGAGTTTATATATATATTTTATATCATGGTTACTGTCAATAATTTAAACTCGTTTCATTTTTCTTCTCTCCGTATTTGTCAACCTAATCGTTATTTATTTCGAACATCTGCTGCAAAAAATATATAATAAAAAAGCATGGATCCACAAAAAATCGGACGAAACGACAGATCTGTCTTTACAACCTTTTAATAATATAAATAAAGGGATCAATTTCACGGAAATGACGGATGGAAAATTTGTATCCTTCTAAAGAGATTTTTATCTGAAAAAATTGTACGTATACGGTGTTATTACCGTCTGCGTTTGTTGTTAGGTAATTTTCCTGCATTTTATGAAAACTTTGTAGGCGAGAGAATGCGCGTCCCTGGTTCACAGATAGAACACACAAATGTCCGCGCCATTCGATTACGCGACAGCATTGTTGGCTTACGATTCATTATGCAACCGAGAGCGTGGTCATAACTTGAAGTAAACGCAAGGAATCGGCACGAATAATGAATGAGAGAAAGGCCAGTCTGTGTGCTTCTGCCGAGGGCTCTCTCGACCGAGATAATCCGCACTTATAACGTAGAGAAATGGAAAATATTAACTCTATACAATCATACATATATGACGATTTTAAGCATACCTCGTACGTTTCGTATAAAGATTTGACAATATTTTTAATCTTCAAGCCGAAATACCGCACGAGAGTCACCGTATATGTCGAAATATAGTCAAAATACAGTCGAAAATAATATCTCAAGCAAGAGTACACTGTAAAAAATTTTGTAAATTACATTAAAAATATGTAAAATTACATAAATAATAAATGTAAAATTACATCACAGAAAAAACAGTATCCTTGAGAGAATGCAAATATGCCTTGATTCAAGTATATTTTATCCTTATAATAGCGCCAAATATAAATAATTTTGGATAAAGGATGATTTATCCTTAAAACAAAGTGCAAAATATTCTTGGTTGAAGCTGAAATTTATTTATAAATATTGCAAGGACAAGTGACAAGTGTGCATCGGATATAAGCGGTACCTTCAAATATATATAATAATTCTTAGTTCAAATGTGACTAAATTTGTTTTTACCATATGCGATTTTTAAAACAAGAATATATCTTAAGGATAAAATATACTTTACACAAGCTTATTTATTATTAAGGCAAATGAAAATTTGTGATTACAAAGAGCATTCTATGCTTAAATCAATCAAATAGCATTCAAGAATAAAAATATACTTGAATCAAGGATTCCTTTTTTTCTGTGATAATAAATAATGAAAAGGTAATCATTTCTATTATTTATCGTGTAATTGTACACTTATTATTTATGTAATTTTACATATTTTTGTGTAATATATTACATATTTTTATTTAAATATCAATGGTCAGAGATGTCGAGTAACGTTGAAAAATGTGTTTATCTTTGTATTTATTTAATATTATTACTTAAAGAAATAATATTAAATAATAATATAGGCAACCAGCAAAATCGTAGCTTCTTTCCAAGTAATACACAAATCCAGGGAATCAAAAAATGCTATATACATATTCTTTCCTGCGAATTTCTTGGTTCTTTTTCAAATTAAATAATAATATTAAATAAATAATATGAAAATAATATAGTAATATTAAAATATTATTATTACTATTTAATATTTAATATTATGTGTATTAAATTATTTAATAGTTAATTTTTTCTAGGGAAAAATTCTTTTCGTTTTTAACGTATTTTTTATTTATTATATCTTTCTAAAGAGTTTGACAATGAGAAAATTAAATTATTGAGATTTAAGTTACTGAAATAGCATCATTTCACACGTAGAGTGTCATTTTATCTATAATGCCAAGTAAAGTTAAAAAATACGTCCTTTCATTATTTAATGATTAATTTTCTCTGATTAAAAATATATTTGACTTCTCAATTTTTTACCTGATTTTTTATTCATTATATCTTTTAAAGAGTCTCACGACGAGAAGATTAGATTATTTATCGAAGTTCCAAAGTTAACTTATTGCAATATAGCATCATTTTATATACAGAGAATATTATTTTATCTTCTGGATATGTAAATTCCATTCGAATAAAAGAATACGAAGTGGATTCGATTTCGACCATCATGTTTTTACTATAGAACAAATTATAATATATCACGTTGATAGGAAAGAAAACAAATAAAATTTTGCCGCCTTATTGTATCATAATTTACAATGCCTAGATATTTATTTTTAATAGATATTTATTCTAAGTGTGATAATATGAATGGAACAATATTATTTAGACATAACTTTATAATCGAATAAGACACACGTGGTTGAAAATATTGTGCAATAGTAAACGGCTGTTATAAAAGCTGCTTTCCCTCCTTTTAATATATTTAGAAATTCGATTAGCTTGTATATAAATTGTACACTTATCTTTATAACCGAATCGAATTACTAAGTTCGAGAGAACGTGAAAAAAAATCGAAATTTTTCAGCTAGTAAATAGAAAAAGCTCTTCTGAAACTTTTCTTCCGCCAGTAATCGTATCGCAGTCATTGTGTTTAATGCTTCATTGTAATGTGAAGACTTCCGCAGGAGCGAAATTACGCTCTTCCGTGCATCATCATATTTTATTTTGCCTACCATACACCATGCATCGTGCATCGTGCGCGAAATGTTTGTGGAAATTGTCCAAAGTCTCCCAGCAAAAAAAATTTAACATGAACCTGAAGAGTCTCGATGTTGTTCGAAAAAAATCGCGATTATCGTCGAGATGAAAAAAAATCGAGGGGTTAAAAATTTCGCGGAAATTTTGACGTCGCGGATTTTTGGCGAAAAACACATCTCTACCTCACGCTCAAACGTCAAACGATGTCACGCACAATTTTGAAAATCTTCAAGCTACGACTCGCGTGTTATAATATCGATGAACTTTGATCTTTCGATGCTTAAAAATGATCTCCGTCCTTGTATCATTATATATTTCGCAAAAATTTACGCTCCGCTTATTCACGTCGAAGGGATTTAATGTCACAAATGTCGCGAATTCGCATTTGACAGCTCGCGGGGGAGTTTCAGAAGCGAGACGGCTAATTCGCGAAAACTTCGCAGCACCGCGAATTAGTGCTGATCTCATCGCCTCTGTCAATTCCCACGATCTATCGATGACGCGTTTGGGACGTATTATTTTGGTCGGTGTATGTACAGTGAATAAGCAGACCCCGGCTCGATGCATACACTGATTGTAAGTAAGTTAGAGCGAACGTGCATATTGACAATATCGAGTTCTTGAAATATCACACGATTTCGAATGCATGATTCTTCTCTGCGAATCGTAAATAACGAATTAACCCTTCTGTCAATGCATAATTGTTCCTTTCGTCAATGTACGGATTTCTCGGGTGTGACACATTTGAACTACTGGGTATTCTTTTCCTTTCTTTTAAGTTTCACATTACAAAGGGCAAAAACCTTTGTCCTATTATGAATGCAATAATATTCTATTTGGAGCAGGCAAATGTAAGTGTTCCACAAATGCAAAAGGCGTCAAAAGGGATAAATATACGTTTAATAGGGTATCCATGACTAAAGGATTAGCATGAGCGACTGTGTTTGTGTAAATATTAAAGATCGACATTGACAAATGACGATGCTACACACGTAAAAAAAGAGCACGGTTTCTTTAAAGCACGAGGTGTATTTAAGGATTATTGGGCACTTTGATCCCTTCGTTGCGGCATTTCGCATTTTACTTCGCGCACACTTCTGTCATCGAAAAAGTGACACTTGATTTAATTTAGGAACAGCACACTTCTGTCATCGAAAAAGTGACACTTGATTTAATTTAGGAACAGCTGATGCGAAATGACACAGCTATCAACAAATTCACTTAGTATTTTTGTAGGTGTTAAAACACACTGCGTATATTTGTCTTGCATTAAAGGATTTTTCCGTCGGGACAAGCTCGGTTAACAAACAGCTGATTCACGTCACTGAAAGCCTTCTCTTCTTGAAGTAAATTATATAATAATTCTTCTTGAAGTAAATCATAATATTTTTCGAGATTTTCAACGGAAACTTACGATCGGCGAGTCTTCAGTGGCCAGTCCATATCTCGATCCACGATGACGTATCCGGCAGGATGCCTTTCGTCTTCGGTTTTGGCCCTTCCCTTTTCTGGTCGACAGCCTGACTGTATCAACGAATTCTTTTCAAATCTCTCAAAAAGTGGCCCAAAACCGTAATCGCGTATTACTTATATATTTTATATAATTTTCGTACGAGATTTTACGGTGATTTGAAATATTAAGAACACTTTCTGCCTTCCGTCGCTCATTTTACTCCGAAATTCTATTTGCTGAATAATCAATATTTGATTGCTCGTCCACAAGCACAGATTATTTTTTTCAGATACGTTATCTATTTCTTAAGCTTCTCGTTCAATTGTAATCAAAATTTCACATATTTCTTTTTTTCAAGATATTAAAACAAGAATCACTTTAAAAAAAAGCTCAAAGTAAAAATGATTAATAAACACTATTAAGAAAATAAATCACCAAATCGAGTACTTTTTGTAAATTTTTATGAAAAACGTAATGAATAGTTGACTCCGAAGCAGATAAATTGCATTTCGCGCTTATCTTAACCCGAGCTCTTAAAACACAAATAAAGTATGACGTTTACAGAATATTACTTACTGTCTAATATTAGAAGAAAATTTTAGAGATTTACGTCACGCGGAATGTAATAAAATTCGCAAGTGACGTTACGAGGAAATGATCAATTTTTACTCTTTTTGGACTGATAGGATCGAGGATTCTCGTTTTCACGATTCCACATAATTCGACGAGCTCATAACAGCGAGTACCGTAAAGAAGAGAATCGAAGATCGGTTTTGGCCACTCTTTTTGTGCGAGATTTGAAAATCTCCGTTGACGCGACGATAACGACGAACGCGAATATGTATAACGGGCGGAAAAAAAAAATATTGCACACTTTTTCGCGCACACACACTTTTACAGAGCAAAGCACACTGCGTTCGTTGTCGAGTCGTCTTCGTCGTATTCTCCGCTCGGAACTTTATCCGTTTCGTTCGTCACCAGCATCGGCCGTTTCTGCTACGCGATGCGAGCTGTATGCACGCGTGCGTATAACATAAGTTTGCCGAGCGTACACATACTACTGTACATACATGCGTACATACAGAGAAATGTAGCTATATTGTGGTTTGAGAAGTGTATACATATGCACGCGCGCGCATTCTCGCGTTTATATGCAAGCAGGTAAACGCGCCGATATGCCAGGTGGAATGGAGGTACGATCACGGCGACGGTCCAACGACGACTGAAGCAGTGAGCAACTCACATGTATCGAGCGATGGGCAAGGGGAGGCGATGGGTGAAGGGGCGACGTGGGTTTGGAGGAAAGAGGAGAGAGAGAGAGAGAGAGAGAGAGAGAGAGAGAGATAGTACAGTCATATGGGGAGTCGGATACTCCGTGTGATGCAGGCATAGGCGCCAACTCACGTATTTTCAACCAATATTTGCCTCTCGCGAAAACATTCATTCATCAGGAAAATCAGCAAAAAAGGAGAAAAATTGACTATTTTTGTGCTATAATATTTCTGTCACTGTAAGCTAGATAAGAAGGATTTATTAGACTGATCAATGTTTATGAAAGATTGGATTTTGGAAATTATGCTGTAATTATTGTGTAATTTTTCATGTAAATTTTGATTGATTGCAGATTCAGCAAAGAGCACAAGGAACACAAGTGTTTGGGTCAAATGATTGGATTCTGGAAAAAGATGACTTTTTATACCAATCCAAGTTTTTGAATGAAACGAAGAAAGATTGGATTCTGCAAATTATGATTGTGCAACAATTTATCATTGCAAATTAGACGAGAAGGACTCCAATCTTCATACCAATTTCATACCAATCAGAGGACTTCATACCAATCAGAGTTTTTGGGTAAAATGTCAACATACTGGATTCTAAACCGTTAAGATTAATTATTGTGATATTTCTTTGCCATTGTTAGATAATCTTATCTAGCAGCATTTTAGAAATTCCTATCTATGGAGCAAATTCTTATCTATGGGAACAATACGATTCTTTTCGTATTGTTCAGAGGTTGGATTTCAAGACTGGACTTTGAAAATTATTAAGAGCAATTATTAACGGCAATTATGGAAGAAAAAATCGTATCCGTGCCTTCCTGGTTTTTGCCCAAATTTGTTATTCCAAAATTATGGGTATACTGTATTCGGTAAGTGTGACGAGAGTCTCCAAACAAAAGTCATCATGATTATGAATTTGCATTACTACTATGTCTGTAATAGAATGTGTATTCTCTCTCTCTCTATTCGCGCGCGTCATTGTTGCGTTATCAACAGTTATCTAAAGTGTGTTACATGTACAATGACGGCCGAAGGCCGTGATGTCGCCCAAAAAAAGTTGCCTGGAAATACATACCTATCTCACCAATCTAATAACTTCAAGGCAGCCAACCGTTTATACTTCTCGTTAGTTAAATGACTAGTTGTGACTTTTATATTATCAGTTCATTTCGCAGTTTTTGCGATCCCAGAGGAATGATTCTAATGTAATTGTAGCGCACTGCTGAAGCTTTAACCAGACCTATTTAATCTCTCTTCAAGTATGTAATGTAATCAACTATTTCAAACATCTCTTTGCACGAAAAGTACCACGATCGATGAACTACATAATTTTTGAGCCGCATCGGGGTGTAACACGTTGCAAAACGAGAAGTAAACTTCACTCTGTGCGCAATTTATATCTGGTGAATGTATTTCATTGTATTTCATTTATTTTATGTCAAACTGCGATACACAGAATGGCTTTTGTTGGAGTCCCTCATAAATACGCCTATGCCTAAGCCTACCTAGCGTAGAATTTATCGAGGACTGTATTCGTTGTATTGTAGAGGGAGCGAGCACGACGACAAGCGAAACGGATAGAGACGGACAGAGAACGCGTTCGAGGAGGAATACGAGGGTTCTCCCTTGTGTAGTGGGGTTTCGCAGACCTCTCCCCGAACCCACCAGCCGGTCGGACACATCGAATTATCTCTGAAAAAATGTGTATGTGCCGCCGCGCCGATATACAAGCGCGCGCGCCGATTAATTATTAATACCGTCTAAAACTCGAGAGAATAATATAAATGTCATCGCGGAATGATCGTTCGTGACAAGCGGTTTTTTCACTACTTTACTTTTTGTGCATAGTTTTTCGCAATTTTACTCCTTTATAACATAATTTATTTAATATAAGGATCCTTATATTAAATAAATTATGATATAAAGGAGTAGAATTATTCCTCGAGGAATAAGTGAGAATATTTTATTAGGATTTATCGAGGAATCAAGATATCTCGTTTCTCATATCAACTTTTTGAAATTAATTTTTTTCTCCTGGTTTGATTTTTTTATCTTTAATATTTCTTAAATAATAATTAAAATGTTTTTTCTTTTTCAATGAAAATTCGGCATTTCTTCGACAGACTCGATAGAATTTTTGCACGACAGATCTGATTTATATTATATAGACGCCTATACACGTAAATGTATCCAATTTTTTTTATTGCAATTGCAACTGAACTTGATAAAAGGTCACAATTTAATTTAGTGCCATCTCGGACTTTGAAATTCTATAACAATAATTATTAAATACTAAAACATATAATGAAGTTCGTATTATTCGTCATTTTATAATTTTTTGCCTCGTAAAATGTAGTATACAATAAAATAAAAAAATATTATTAGAATCTTTACAATCAGAAAAAGTGCAAATCTTAAATACGCATAAATAGTTTTTCTTTTATTTTTAAAGCATAGTGTAGCTTTTATCTTATTCTGAAATTATCATTTTCATGAATAAATTGCGTCAAATTAAATCACTCCCATGCGCGCAACTTGAAAAAAGTTTAGAGTTTCAGAAGTTCATGAAGATTTAAGACTTTTGAGAAAATGCAATTAGTCTCTGCATGAAATAGTCACAATTTTTGAAAGAAAAGATCAAAGTAAAAATCTATTATTTTTATATTAATAATGGCATATAATTTTTTAAAGGAGATTCAGAAATGTTGATTTATATTCCATTTATTTACGAATAATTGTTAAACGCAGAATCCACGTTATTTAAGATCATCTTCATATAATAAAATCTTTCTCATGCGAAAAAGAATCGTAAGTAAGAAGAAAAAATTAAGTATACAAAATGTGATTAGTTCATATTATTTTGATTTTAAAGTTGCGAGGAGATTCCATTAAACCGTATAAGTATCTAAACAGAGATAGACACAAAGTATCTTTTTTGTGTTTCATTTTACAATAAGTTTACTGATGACTTGTAAGAATTTTTTATTTTCCTTTTTTGTAACAGAACGAATTTTGGGTTAAAAAAAGAAAAAAAAATCGTTAATAAAGAAATACTTGCTGTAGCAAATTATTTTCTTTCAAAGAAGAATATAATTTAAATAAAAGATATTTTTAATTAAGAAGGGATAGAATGACTTTATTTGGTTCGATATTACTCTATTTTAAATACTTATATATTTTATATAAATATTAATATATTATAAATATAAATAAAATTTTTTAAAATCTTTTAAACTATTCTCTTGTCAAATAATAGTCAAAGCAATGCTATAATTTTTGTACAATTAAAAATTTTCTTAAAAGAATTTTCTCTTTTCGTTTTTACTTGACAGATCATTGTCTCATTCTGACTCTTACAGTATTCCTGATATCTTACAGTATCGTAAAGCGCGAAGATAAATAAGCCTTAATTTTGAACTCAATACTCAAGAAAATCTTTTTTTATATTGTTAAATAAATATTAAACCTTTTTCCATATTGTTAAATAAATATTGAAAATCAAATGGAAGAACAAATATAAAGGAAAGATAAAAAAACTGACCAGTTTGGGTCTATAGATAATTTAAAAATAGTAGGGTCAAATTTAAAGTATGCGTGACTACAAAGATTTATGTCAGTGATTTATATATATGTGTCAAAAATTTTGACGGAGGTAGTTGAAGGAATGTTTTAGGAATGATAATTTTCGAATAAGGTAACAAATAAGATAATTTTCGAATAAGATAAAAATCAACTCTCCCCCTTTCTTTTAAAATATTATTTTAAATGTAAGAAAATTTAATACTTTTTATTCTTTATTGTATTAATATAATTTTTCTTTTTTTTACATTTTTCTATTTTTACATTTTTCACAGTTAAACTAATAGATAGCGAAAATTTGAAATATGATTTTTTAATTATGTTAATGAAAAATATATATTATATACAACATGATCAGTTATACTCATATCGCTTTCTCGTTTTAGCGATCTTTTTTTCAGAGAAGAAAATTTTATGCAAACAAATTAAATTCATATCGCAACTATAAACGATCAATTTGATTGATGGGAGATTACGCGAAGTTGGCATTCAAGAACGCGAAACGAGAGGAATGATCGAGTCTCGATGAAATTAAAATCGTAATACGACGAATGCACACACACATACATATATATAATACATATATAATATATTTTATATATGGCACGTATGAGGCAGAGAGAAGTCCCTGAGATTTTAATCCTTGCCTATTGAGATGAAACAGATAATTACGTCGCAATGTCGTGCAAAATAATAGAATCTAAAGTACGGCGATAATTAAACTTCCTTAGAAATCTGAAGCCTTAATACGATTGTGAAAATTGAAGAGTATTTCAATTATTCATTTGACAGAGTAATTTTAAAAAATTTGTATATCTTCAGTATAAGTATACGTATATATATAAAATGTATTTTAACAATATAGAATTCTAGCGATTTCTCCTTTGTTATATAATTTTTAAATACTGCAAAATTAAATGTAATCAATTTTTTATTTATTATAAAAATATTACCTATTTGATATTTATTATAATTTTTACTTTAAAGTGCTTATTAAATGGGGTTGTTAGAAGTAGTTTAAAATTATATTTTGGTATTGGATACATTAATTTATATTCAGCATGTCAGTTGACAGACAAAGGAAAATGTTTTTCTACCTGAAAATTTTAAATTTGAAAGACGGGAAATACAAAAATGTTAGGCAATATGGTAAAGCTCAAAATGACATGTGTTAGAACTGGTCAGCCATTAAAACGAATTGCATGACTGCACATAATAGTAGATATTACTAAGCGATAAATCACTATTGAGAATTGTCGAAATTTCGAATAGAGATTCACTATTTCCAACTTTACGATTATTTCAATTTTTCACATGCTCAATTGATGCAGAATCGTTTATTGGGCACGAATATACGAATTAGATCGTTTGTTAGAATTCGTAAAGCACAAAAAAAAATGAATCATAAAAATTATTCTATTTTGATACTATTTAACGAGATCAGACTTGTGTACTCATTTAATCCAGAAATTCTAAGTGATTCACATTCTTGAGTTTGTAAATGTACCTAATAAAATTCCTCGAATAAAGTGCGCGAAAACGTCGCGCGTTAAACTTTATTTCCAACAATCTCCGACGATATTTTTCGATAGAGAAAAAAACTTATACAGGAAGACGTTTGTTCCCTTTCGTCGTCACAGTCCCCTTGAAACTGGAAAGATAAAAAGGAGAGCACCCCGATGATACCGTTAGAAACCAGATCTGCTTTCCTGCTTCTTCGCTGACACATCTGCACAAAGTGCGGTCTGTTAAAAAGCTGCCTTCAATTGCGGTAAAATTTCGAACGAAATTGACGGAACAATGAACTTCCCGGAACTTGATGTATGGTTTCCCAGGCACTCATTTTTCTCTATACTTAAAAATTGTTTCGCTGTTTACGAAGATATTTTTTTTCGTGCCTCTCTCGCAATTTTGAAATTTTTTATAATGTTCATATAAATGCAAAAATATTTTAAAAGGATCTTGAACTCTTGAAAACATTTTTCCCATATTTCGGAAACAAACATGCCAATAACTTTTATGATAAAAATGTGGATCTCGATACTTCTAACATTTTTTTTTATCTTTCTAGCTTACATTTCTGTCTCGGCGTTTATCGAAAATCTTAAAATTCCTAAATTCTTCTATAACTAGTTTCAAATATAACTAATTTTTTGGTATATAAAGATATTTTGGCAGACAGGATCATTTCTAGAATCAATCGGAATCGAATGGAATGGATTTTTAAAGCAAAGTTTTATAAGACAATCGCATGCAAATCCTGCTAAACAGAATTGCGTCTAAAATTTTTCATGTGATTTATGGGATAATCAGAATTGACATCTTTATAAAACTGATTATTTTTTTTGAAAAAGGGCGGAAAACAGAAAAGGACAAAACAGACTTGGAGTCATCGAACCTAGGACCATTTTTGGCAAAAGAGCTTAGAAGCAAATTAAATGAAAAATGATCGAGGAAAAAGGCAGAAAAGGTGCTCTTGACCGCAAACTGGACAAAAAAGGTGCATGTGTTAGTTTAGATATTATATCTACGACCGGTGCACTTTTATTCAGAAACAACAAAAAAAAAATTTGTTACCTAAATCCTTTAACTTGAATCACTAATTTTCATACCATAATCTAAAATACTATAATCTAAAGAAATTCAAAATAAACAATTGATTAATTAAATATATATAATATAATATTTTATTTTTTAACTTATATTTATCATAAAAAGTATTTTTGTATTATGCAAAGCTTTTTATTAATGTTCGATGGAAAATCCTTTTCAACCAATAACTTCATATAATGTGCGTATTATCGATTGTGTTAAATTTTTTATAAATTCTGATGGTATATTATTTTACTTTTTATTTAAAATTCTTTCGGAGATGCTTTTTTATTATGATATTTTCGTAATATGGGGTTTTTCAAGCTCTTATTACATATGTTTCATATACATATTTAGCTTCTGCGAAATCAAAAGAATTATTCAAAAGAAATTGGTAAATGTGTGTAAGAGTACAAGTTGTATTAATTCATTTATTTATTAATTTTTTAAAACAACTTTTATACATATATTACATATATACTTCGAATGTATCCTTTACATATATATACGTATCTCATCTAAACTTTATTGTAAATTTTATTTTAGGTTTCTATAAAAGTACATTTTTTTTCATTACTTACGAAATATTTAAATTGAATCTCGTATTAAAGTTGCAAAAGTTGAACATGTTTATAATATGGTGGAGTAAAGTTTCTTGCAGCAAAGAAGTGGAGAAAAACGAATTAGAAAGATAATTTTCAAGTTTGCCTTAAAGTTAAATAAATAAAAAATTTGACGTTATTCGACGCAATTACAATAAAAACAACTAATTAATGTTTCAGAAATAATATTGCGAATTTGCAAACGCTTCCCTTCACAAATGTTCGAGTGCGAACGTCAAATATCCTCGTGTCTGGATCGGGGCATTACGAATGGTCAACAGGATAAACAAGTCGCATCCATCGCGGAAACCGCATTGCGATTGCATCTGAAAGCTGGCTATCGATTATTTATTTTCACGTAGAACGTCGGGATCCAGTTTGAAAATTTGTGGCCATGCGCGTTTGTTAGAGATCGCATATAGATGACATATTGTCGAGGAATATATGCAACTCGCAAATCGTGTATCTTCTCGTACTCTGTATATATTGCAGTTATAACGGAAAATCTAGGAAATATCGAAAAACTCTAGATGAGATGAAAAGGAAAAAAAACCAAAATAATTATTATACGAAAACAGCATTAAATATTGCTTGATAAATTTAATAATGACAATTAGATTATTATAAATATTGTAATATTATTTAAATATTAATAATATTAAGCTTTAACCGAGGTATCTTTTCAAGATTTACTCCATCTTTAAAAAAAGATTAAATTAGGAAATTCTAAATAAGGTAAAGATATAAAAATTTTTTTATTATATAAAGGCAAATTATCGCTTGTTTAATTTTTTATAAAAATTGTAATATTAGCTAAATAATATTAAGCTCAAAATGAGGTGTCTTTTCGCTCTTTTTCCCATAAAAAAAGGAAAACAAGAGAAAATTAAATTAAGATTAGATTAATAAAATAAATTGTAAATAAGATAAAAATAAAAAAATAGATATTGTACAAAAGGCAGCATAAGTTAACCCTTGATGAATTTAACATAACCATAAGAATACCATAAAAATAATTATATTATTTAAATATTATATTAAGCTCCAATTTTTGATGCTCAACACGCTTTTCTCGCCCTTTATTTATTCGCAAAAGCGATACTACGTCTCAAGTTAATATACCATTCAAATTCAATTGTCATAATCAAATCTGTCCGGTATAACATATAATGTTAAGTATAAACGTCAAACTAATTAGATAAAAATTCGGTTAACTTTTCCCATTTATTCCATATAAAAGAGAATACGTTTAAGTGTACCTTTTAACTGTTGTATTATCGTATTTGCTACCGCAGAGAGATAATATTTGTGCATTCCAGAAAGCCGTAAAACCCATCGACGCGAATATCGCGCAAAAATATATAACAGATCCGTAACGAACAACTGTATCAGATGATACGAACGGAATCTCGACGAAGCGTCAAATTACACGTAATATTAGATAACTCTAATTATTTTCACGATATTTGCCCCTCTTTTTTTTTCGACCACGTTCCATATCGAATTTTATAGCGTATTCGTCGGACTGACACGAATTCGGCGGCCGCGCGATGATTCGTGTTAAAAAAAAAAAAAACAACCCCGTCTACCGGGGATGACCGGGATTTCGCGAGCGCAGTCGGCTGGGATTTGCAATTCTCTCGGAAAATGCATATCGCGAGCTGCTGCGTCCCGTTGCGTCGATATCGTTCTGGACATCGTGGGATTGATGGGGGTGGAAGGGGAAGGGTGAGAAAACGGGGTGGGAATCGCGTCTATTCACGTATCGATCATCGTACCTATATGCTACAGATAAGACCAGGAAGGAAAAGTGGAACAGAAATGGCAGTTTTGAAAGGCGAAACGACCGGCTCTTCCTGCGAAAGGTTCTTCCCATTCACGATATGTGCTCATAGGGACGATCGGGAATAAAAAGAGGAAAGAAAGGGGAGTGGAAAAAAAATGAGAGAAGGGACCTTCGATGAAAGAAAAAGGAAGACGAGGGAAGGGAGAAAGCATTTATTAAATACCGTGATATTAAAATTATTCTCTTATACGAAAGATCTAGAGTCGAGCACGGCACTGATATGTCTATCACATTGCGCATTTAATTTTAATTTAATTAAAAATTACAGAGATTACGGAGAGAGGCAAAATAGGCGAGAAAAGCGAGAGCACGTGGATGTAGAATGAAATTTTAAATAGAGTTCTAATCACAAATTATAAATCACCTTAAAGTACACGTATGCATAAATCACGGAGATTAAAATGAGAAAAAAAAGAGGATAATGTCTGAGAAAAATTGAAAATGGAAAAATATTTTTAAATCGACAAAATAAAAAAACGTAAGGGAAAAATAAATGATGATCGAGAGAAAAACAGGAATAGATTAACTTATTAGAAAAAAAAAAAACGAGGTAAGAGGAAAAAGAGCGAAAAGAGGCTGATTTGAGGAAAACCGCAAAAATAATGAGTGAAGGGGGAGGAAAAAGCCGGCAGCGTCGAGAGGGAGAAAAAGAAAAAGGAAAAAAAGAAGAAGAGGACAAGGAGAATCTCGAGTTGCAGAGCGAGATCGCTTACCAGAACATTTTACCGAAGGCGACGGAGCCTCTAATTTTAATAATTGGATATAACCTCGATTTTCTTCTCATACGCCAGAGGGATAGCAAATAATGCGTGCATCGACCGTAAATAGGTAGGTATATAGATACGCACCTGCCCTTTCAATTCTGCCGCGCCTAGATACAGAGGAGAAAATATCTCTCGTATACCTGAGTAGAGTGGGCCTTTGAATGTGCGAACTAGCCATGGTTTGAAAAGAGATAGCGAATGTTAAAAATAGCGAAGGGTAAAAGCACGTGACCTAAGATTAAGACATACCTCTCCCACAACTACCCTACTACCACCATTACATGATGGTCTGCGATGCGCATTCAAGCCATGATGGTCTGCTATGCGCATTCAAGCCTAATTACAAGTGGCGACTGTGGGATTACAGTTGGCGACTGCGCACGGTGACTGTGGGTTGTGAGTAGGTTATGTTATTGTTCAAATAATAAGGAATAGAAATATTGGTAAATAGGACGTGTAAATTAATGAAATAGTGTTGGATTGTTCCAATTTCAATTATCTATTTTCCACAGCTAGTCATGGGTTTGTCTTTTGTTCCCGCACTAATAAAATAGTGCACACTGGTGCAATAAGTTAGAGTGAGACAAAATATACTTCTCTCACTCTAACTTATTGCACCAGTGTGCACTATTAGTGCAGAAACAGAAAATTAGGCTCATGATGCATAGCGTGATTTGAAGTGCATGGTGATATTAGTGTTAGTTGCACTGTAAAAAAATAGATAATTGAATGATGCATAGCGTGATGTGAAGTGCATGGTGATATTAGTGTTAGTTGCACTGTAAAAAAATAGATAATTGAATGAGAGGAGTATATTTTGTCTCACTCTAACTTATTGCACCAGTGTGCACTATTAGTGCAGAAACAGAAGACAAGCGTCATGTATAGCGTGATTTGAAGTGCATGGCGATATTAGTGTTAGTTGCACTGTAAAAAAATAGATAATTGGAATTTCTGAAGGCTTCAGACTTGAATCATTGTGGACCCGGTCTAAGGAAAGAAAGGTATGCAGAATATCTTATATATTTTTTACAGCTAGTCATGACACATGGCGTGATTTTATTTTGTGATCGACCATTTGCCGATTTCGATCTAAGCGGAACTGAAAAATATATCCGAAGGATGCTACGGAAGAAACGTAAGAAACTAATTCAGTAATTGATTGAATTTTTAACGATTTCATACTCATGCAGAACGATTTCATAACGATAATCTTTCAGGGAAATCGATGCGACCATTTTGAGTCTCGGAACGCAGTCGAAAGAATCTAACCTGAAGAAGGATCTATCTTCAACAAACAATGATGATAATTGAAGAAAATAAACAGGAAGAAGTAAATATAAGAGAAGGACAGATATTTTACGGGAGGAGAGGAAATTGTGTAAACTCCAAACTTCGAAAGATGCAGCGCAATGATTTTATATAACTTGGACAAGTAAGTTTTATCAGAAATAAAAAAATTGATATCTTTAAAAATGTCAAAAACGTCTCGCACTATAAATTATTTTTCTTGATAAATATTTTCATATATTTCATATATTCTGTTGTTAGTGGACTGATCGAAATTTTTTTATGTTGTCGATTATTTATCTAATACTTTTTGCACAAAGTAATGAAAAGAATTCATTGTAAAAAAAAAACCAGTTGTTTAATCATAAAATGAATATCTGTACGAGATATTTTATATTTCATATAAAATTATGTTAAAGTATAAAATATCTCATTAGGCCTTTATTATGATACCTCATGAGGCCTAATAAAAATTAAATCTTATACTTGTCACTGTCGAGTTTGTCAATTAATTTTTATAAAATATCTCGTAAATTATTCAATTTTTAATACAATACTTGTTGAATATCCGCTAAAATAGTAAAACAATTATAGATTTATCTATAAAAAATTAAAGATGACTATGAAAATTAAAAAACTAATAAAATATACTATAATCATTTTAATTTATTATGCGTCACAAAAAAATGTGATCGGTCCTGTACATTACTTTATTATTATTATATATTGGATTAAGCTAAAAAAGTACTTTTTTTCTTATTTAATTATGGTTATTCTAAGAATGTAAAAAATCGATAATCCTTTAAAGGCTATAATTATATCCCGAAAAATCATATTCATTTAGCATGACGTGTGACGCGTTCGTTGGTTTATTTCAATTGCTCGTTTCATTCCGATTACAATCCAATTGACTTGCCGGCGTTTAATTAAGTTGTTAGTCATGTTTAATCGACGTCGCTGGTCGTTGACCTTTAAGAGAGAAGATTCGAATATCTTTCTTTATTAAATTATAAAAATTATCGCATGTTTTATAAAGACGATCAAAGTCGTCTTTTTGCAGCGTGTCGATACAGTCCATTTTCAAAGAAAAAAAAGAATTTCAAATAAATCTTATTTATCGCCAGACTTATCGTCCTTTCGACGCCAGGATTTGTACTCGAGCGATATTTCTGGATTGAGAAATCTTACTACGACAGCACGATTCGATATCACGGACTCTTGACATCTCTTTATCATTGCAGATATCACTGAGAAAGGAGGACGTCGACTTCCCATCGTTAATATTTCCCGGACCCGATTTATACTCGATAATTGTATCAATAATATTTGCTGACTGACTGGCTGGCTGCAATTTGGTCCAAATTAATGGAAGACACTTTCGACAGGATTGATTTTGGATTATAATAGGTATATGTGAACATGATCCTTCGGGTCAAATTTGAAATCTGCATCTATTCATATTGCGATAATTATAAACCTGTCGCGACGCGCAATATTATATATTATATATAATTATATAAAAAGAATCTGTTAAGACATACTTATATGTAATTTTTATAGAGAAAAGTGAGAAAAGATGAAACGAAAAATAATACAATAATATAATATAAATGAAAAAAAAAAAATACAATGATATTAAAAGTAAAATAATAAAATAAATATAAAATATAAAGTACACACAATAAAATACATAATTATATCTTAACAGATTTGTTTCTCTCTTTCTTTTTATTAAGAGGTTAAATAATTGTCATTCTTATTCTTAGAAATCGTTAAGCGCTAAAGATAATATTATATAGAAAAAGTTCAAGGATATTTTTTCTTTGCTCCGAGCTTGCTTGAAATAAGAGAAGGGAACCTACTCGAAACATGTGTTACACTTGACTAACACACATTACAAATGTGTCACCGATAATTTATACAATTTTACACGATATACATATATCCCCCAAAGACAAAACCGCTTTAAGCCGCATCCGGTGCCATAACGTAACATGTTATTCATAATTAATCTGTTATTCAATCCAAAATTAGGGAGATTATTAAAAAAAGGTAAATATTGTAGGCCAACTAAACGAGCAAAATTAAATAAAAGATCTAAAGATTTATTAATAATTAAATTAATAATTAAATTCTCATTCCGTTAGAGAAACAATATACATCTTTAGATCTTATTTAATTTTGCTCGTTTAGTTGGCCTACAATATTTACCTTTTTTTTTAATTTTGTTAATTTATACGAGCCTTTCATTAATTAATTTTAGGGAGATTATATTAAGGCGCAAATGTGGAGAGACATCAAATCAGCCGTGGACGAAAATTTCAGATACCAAATCACGAAACACACCCGGCGACTTTTGAAGGTGCAAAAAACCGTATAGAAATGACGATTTGGGAATAATAATAGAGCACCGTCGAATTTCCACGGTTTTACGATACGAACGTGGAGTGAATTTCGAGAGGGGAACAGAGACGGTTTTATCCGTGCCATTAATCGCAAAGAGATCCCCGGATGGCTTTACGACGTTTTCCCGCGTTTATAACAGTCCTCGATAAATGCTCCGGTGTCGCGCAATATATCCGAACTTCGTCGATCATCGTAAAGCTGATGACCGACTCTGCGTATATATAACGAAAATTTGCTCCTATTTTCATCCCCACGCGCGTGTGTGCGACGCAAAACGTCGGTCCTGGCTTGATAGTCCGTCGGATTTGCGGGATCAACAGTCGCGGGATAATAATGAATTATAACGCGAATATTTTTCGTCGTAAAAAAAAAAAAAATCGTTTCTCCCGGAAATTTTTATTGTCCTTTTTTTTTCCCGCCAAAACTCGTTGTCGAGAAATATACTAGGCTCCAGTAACACTCCTGCAATAATGACTTAATTATCGAGGGCAATTTAATTGTCGAATATTTTACGCGTTCTTACTTTAATTATCGAAAGTAATTTTACGAGACCGCTTTGCGGCAAAAAAAAAAAAAAAGAGAAGAAAGGAGAGGAAAAAAACCGTTCGTGTCGCTGACGTAACGGTTTTCTCCCGAATGAACAAATTACACGCGTTCATTACCTCGTAATTGGGACTTTCGCACGATGACTAGGTGCAAAAAGAGTCGCCGCGGTTTCGATTCCTTCCACGTGCAATTTGCCGCATCGGCTGTCATCGCGACGTCTTGCAATTTCGGAAATTAATAAAGGAAGAAAAGGAGAGGAGAGATAAAATACCGGCTGTCTCTTGTCCTGTATATTTCGCACCGTTCGAAAAGTGAAATCCGACTAATCTCCCGCAGAGATGCAATTACGATTATTATTAGTCCACATGGCGACGAACGATGCTGATGAAGTTTTCTATTAATTTCGCGGGCGCGAATGTCCGGCTGAACGTTCACCGGATCTTAAATGTTTTACGGAAGTGTTTACGCGGCCGATACGCGCGGGTAAATTACGGGGATACGCGTAAATTAAATTTAAAAATGTACCGACTACGTTGATTGCGCCAGTGTATGTAATTACACAGGTTAAAAATTTCGCGCAAGCATGGAAAATGATCTAAATATCGCTTTTGAAGGCATTAAAAACATCTTTTTCAGGGTATTTCGACACAAAAATGGAATAAATGGCTTGAAAAACTTCTAACTTCATTAGCTACAAAATAATTTTCACGTTAAATATCTCATTGAAAAATTATGATGAGTTAAAAATATTAACCCTTAGTCCCGACGGTTCTTTTCGACACCTTTAATCCAGACTCATGGGTCGTTTGCGTCTTTGCGTTATTTGGATCAGTAAAAACGCTTTAAAAAATCTGAATAAATTCATGGAGCTTCTTGCAACCTTCAACTTAAAGTCCCAATCATAATATTTCGATAAAAATTATTTTTTTATATAGTTTGTTATTAAGAAATAGAGGAATTACAGCACTTTGAAATTTCGTTTGAGTCGCAAACGATTCATGAGTCGGGACTAAGGATTAATTAGGCTTTTCCTAAATGTTAGATTGAAAAAGAATCGGTTTTTAATTTATTGAAAAATCGTTGGTAAACGACACTAAGATAAAGAAGCTTACAATTAAATATCTCCTTGCACGAGTTAAAAATTTCGCACAAGCATGGTGAAATTATTTTTCGTTTTCAAAAATATTGAAAACATTTTTTTCATCGTATCTCGATAAAAAAATAATTTGAAAATTTTCTAATAGAATTCCATCAGCTACAAAATTAAAACGTACACTAATTAAATATCTCATTTAATTAGATACGTTAACATATGAATTTTCAAAATTTTTGTTTGCAAAAGAATTTTTAATCTGTCAACAAATTTTTGCACGTAAATGATACTGGGCTAAAGAAATTCAGACGTCTCCTTGCACGAAAAATTTCGCACAAGCATGGTAAACTTTCTAATTTTTTGTTTTCAAAGCTATTGAAAAAATATTGTTCTTCGTATCTCGACAAAAAGAATGAAGAAGTAATTTGAAAAATTTCTAATAGAATTTCATCAGCTCCAAAATTAAAACTTGCACTAATTAAATGAGATATTTAATAATATCTCATTTAATTAGATACGTTAACATATAAATTAAAATTTTGGCTTGCAAAAGAATTGTTAATATATCAAAAAATTTTTGCAGGTAAATGATACTGGGCTAAAGAAATTCAGATGTCTCCTTGCACGAAAAATTTCACATAAGCATGGTAAACTTTCTTATTTTTCGTTTTCAAAGCTATTGAAAAAATATTGTTCTTGGTATCTCGACAAAAAGACTGAAGAAATAATTTCAAAAATTTCTAATAGAATTCCATCAGCTACAAAATTAAAACTTGCACTAATTAAATATCTCATTTAATTAGATACGGTAACATATAAATTTTCAAAATTTTGACTTGCAAAAGAATTGTTAATCTGTCAAAAAATGTTCGCAGGTAAATGACACTGACAATGAGAGATAAAGAAGCTCAAACGTCTTCTTGCACTTGATCTCACGTAAAGTTGACGGCGAGCCTTTGAGAGAGCACCCAAGAGAGAGGAAATGGAAAAAGAAAGAGAGAAGAGTTTTTGGTGTACATATATGACTTGTGTCGACGTTGGGACGGGAAATGCAGCTGGTCCCTAAAGGGATTGGCCAGCTGTTGATGGAAGCTTTAGGTATGTCGGCCGCGATCCACGGCCGTGAGAAAAAGACGAACCGGTCGATTGACTCGCCTCGCAAAGCCGAGGCCGACGAGGAAGACCTTCAGGAACATGGAACAGGCTCTTTCCTTTCATCGAGAGCCAGCCAGCCAGCCAGCCTTATCGAGCGACGAAACGAGTGTTGCGAGAGCGCCAACTTCGGCCTCTCAACAACAGACGAAGACGAAGACGCTTGCGAAAAACGTTGCGAAAATATAGTATACGCGTGGCGGAAGAGAGGCAGACGGTGCGTTTGTCAAAGTAACTTTACGTAACGGCCGTATACATAAGGGTTGATGATTTTCCGCAAGCGTAGATGAAGAAGTAAGGTCTCTTTTTCTTCCGTTCGATAAAATTATTAATTTTCAATTAAAACCAGTTTTCGAGCTGTATAGATTTTCAAGAGATGTAAATTATGAAGATATTTGATTGTCAAGATATTTGACAGATATAAAATATTTCACAATATTTTTATTAATTATAATTATTTATATATTTATTTATAGATTATTTATATATATTATATTGCGTATTAACAAGGTCAGTTTTAAAGTCAGCTGGAGATCTTTCTTTCAAGACACGTGTCTTTCTGTACAGCTTATAGGGCACGCACATGAAAGAAACGTGTTTTATTCAGATGCAACCCTGTTATGAATAATTCTCATTCAGCGTTTCTTGTTCGCCGATTGTGCAGTTTTCTATCTTACGTGGTTAGGATCACCTCGAGCGAACTTTGGCTTCCATTCGTCTCATCTTTTTAAAATGTTTTACTCGTAACGCAAAGAGAACCGTTTGGAAGCGTTTTCTCGATATTTGAGAATTCTGATATTTGTAAGGAATCTTTCGAATATTTGGAAGAAAAAGATAATTTGCTCGAATGGATTAATATTAATACAAATTAATATAAATTGTATTCTATAAATTCTCCAACAATCTGGAGGCTGATATTTTTCTTTTAGCGGAAGTTAGTTAAGTACGCAGCATTACTTTTGGTTTAAATTTAACTTTGTAATTAAGCTTTCCAAAGAGAGAAGTGAAATTTTGTTGTAAAATTCTCATTTGTAATTTTACAATGAATAGAATCTTAGGCTACTAACAGTCTTGTTATAGAATCACGCAACAAATCGTCTTATAAAAATTAATATTCATCCATTCAGGAAATCAGGTCCTGATAAAATCAGGTCATTCTGATTTTTCTATATATTGCAATTTACTGATCTACTCATTATAAAATTTTAATATTTTTTTTTAACGTTAGTTCACTATAAAATCTAATATTTAACGTTAGTTCTCAGCGAACTATATCTTATACAATATATGCATATAATAATAATTTTTATATAATACATTTCAGATTACGTAAATCGTATACTAAATGTTTCTGAACGCAGCCAAGGATAATTATTGTAAGATATCTTACGACTAAATTTGTCTCAATATCTGTTTCTGGATGGACTCGAACCTGCGTTATGCCTAGTCTTTGCCTCAGCCGAATTTCGGCGACACAGCGTGCATGACCATTTCATTCAGCATTTAAAGTTGCCATCCATTTATTAATAGAAGGGTTAAAAAAGAGAAGACTGGTGTAAAAGCTATATGAAGTTTCAATTGCAATTTCTCGCGAAAATTTGCTCGATACTTATAGGCATTTCCCACCATTTTCTCGACACTCTCGCGCTCGTTTGTCGTTCCGCGTGCACCTGTCATTGATTGCGCGCGCGTTAGAAGGTTTACTTATGTAAATGTGTCCTTAGAGGAGAGCTTAGGGAATCGCGAAAGAGGAGTGGCCGTTTCTCGCGCGAGAAAACGCGTCTCGAGAAGCCATAATTCCTTTCTTAGCTGCCTACCGCTCTTGTTCCTATCTCCGTCGCTTGACTGCGACTGATTACAAGTAGCGAGTTTAACGGTGTCTATAAATCTCCGGGGTACAATGTTGAGAGGCGTTAAAGAGCGCGATATCGGCGCGCATGAGAGCTCGAAACGTTACGCTCGTTTCGATTAAGGCGACAGCGGGTAGGTTAAGGTGGGTTAGATCAAGTAAAATTAAGTTGGGTATCCATCAAAGCCAATAAAAAGAACCTCGCACTAATCTTATATGAAAATAGATTTCGGTTAAATCGATTGGTTTTCTCATAAACCAGTTGTAGCTGTTGAGAACAAAAAATGTAATAGTCTCAAAGCTGAATAATAGAGAGTTACTGAGCTACAACTAGTCGAACAACTCGCAGAGCCAGAATTTTTCGTGTTTGACTAGTTGTAAATCAGTAACTGTTTATTTAGCTTCTATTACATTTTTTGTTCAATAGATCGATAAACTACAATATATAGAAAAACCAGAATGACCTGATTTTACCAAAATTCAATTTTATATAAAATTGGTGCGAGAACCTAAGAAATGAAATTGAATCCCGATAAAAAATCAGTTTGTTTTCTGATTTACAATAAAAAGTTCTGCCTCTTTTCTGAGTTTGATGAACTATAATTCACTATAACTCAGTAACTATCCATTAGCTGTGAAGCTATTTCATCTTTCGTTCAGCAAGTCATAAACGACAACATATGAGAAAACTAGCTGATTTAATCAAAATCCAATTTCCATCTAGAATTAGTGCGAGGTTCTTTTGACAGCCATGCTTTTGTGCGAATGCAATTAAAAATTTCGCTATATTTTTGCATCGCACACTCGTGATATTTTTCGCTGTAGGAGGGCAATGTTTACGTAAAAACGCGCCATACAAACTTCTGTTCTGTCTTGACTGTTCTTCTTTCTTTCAGCGCGAGAAAAAAGAGGAAGCGCGAAAGACCGTTTAAATAAGACGAGACGAAAAAAAGCATCGCGAAGCGAATGCCGGAGCCGTATAGAAAAAATGATGCATGGCCTCGGTGCAACAACAACGATGTTGCCGCCTCATTGTTGTACGAACGAAGAAAGATCTTTCTGTTTCCTTCTCTTCGAATCGCAGTGATACCGCAACGGACTCGAGGTATTTCATGCGTGCATTTCAGTTTTCTCACAGCATTCCATTCCATCTTTCTAAAAGCTTAGTCAGCTCTTTTATTCTCAATTAGACCTTTTCTCCTCGTGATTTCAAAACAAACAAGCATTCAAGAAGCACTAAAATTGCGTTACACTGATTTTCTACTAAAATAAAATACTGTTCGTGACAGAGAGAGAGAGAGAGAGAGTTCTTCATAAGTCTGTTTACTAAAAAATATATGCTATTTTATTTCCTCTTGTTTATTGGAGTATTAAACTGTATCTTATTTGGCAAGTCTTTAACGAACATCTTAAAAAGAAAAAACTTTCTAAGACAGTTCAATTCTTGTCTTTTTTTAGATGTGAAATATCAATTTTATCTGAAGTTATGCACGAGCGGTACCGGATGAATGTCCTCCTTAGAAAGATGTCTTCCTGTCAGAGATTACAGGGATGGGTTTTAGTAGGTTATACTGCAGTTAAGGTTAGGACCAGAATCCGACACACCCCTGGTCACCTTCCCTCAAGTATGGTCAGTATAATGTATCGTAAAAAAATGTAAAATATCAAGACTACCTGTGGAAAAATAGTTCTAGAATAGAGAGTATTGATGTGCTATTATGTAAAAAATCTATTATTTCATACATATAGCTACTAAAATCAAGAAACTTTTATTACAGAAAGAAGAATCACGTGAGATATTTTTGATTACACTCGCCGGATAATTTCTTAATTTTGAGCGATATTTCACGCTTAGTTCACATCAGAGCTACCTCAATGAGACGATCAACGACGAGAAGCTTCTCCCTACATGACAAATGTACGTGTCTTCCCTACGAGCTTCTTCGCATCCCTAAAAGAAGCCGATTCAGAGGACGAACACATTACGAGCTATTCCGCTTACCTACCTTAATTTCTCCTGGCAACCAAGTGCGTCGGTACACAAAGGAAAGTGATAAACGGAAAAAGATGAGAGCGAGAGGGAGAGAGAGAGAGAGAGAAAGAGAGAGAAAGGGAGAGATAAAATAGGAGTACAATGACCGTGCAACGATAAACGGCATCAGGCTGTAGGAATACCGCAGGGTATCGAGACTATTCAAGCAGTATTGTTGCGAAGAGAGGTGAAATCCCCATCTTCCCTGGTGTGATGGAGGTTTGGGAAGCATCTGTTTGTGAGCCGACGAAGAGACGAAGTACGAAAAGGTGCGGGAAAATGAGATGAGGAAAGAGAGAGAGAGAGAAACGGCACCCACGCTTTTTTTTTCAAATCAACGCGACAGCGAAAAGAGAGAAGAGATCAACGACCAAATTTGAAAAATCTGTGGTGTCTTGGTTCTTACCTGATGCAGCTGCAAATTCAGGTTTTTTGGATTCCAAGATCAATCTTGTGCATCTCTACTTAGGTAGACAGATAGAAAGATAGAATAGGTAGGTAGATAAGTAGGTAGGTATGTTCGAAAGATCGCCAGGTAGAGGCCATCAAAGAATATAGACGAATATAGAAGCACGGTTCTCAATATCCTGCGGCTCGCACAAGCTTGGGTACTTTGCTATAGTTTACGTCACGTGTACTGTAGGTACTGAAATGCTATAGATGATATCTCTTCTCTAGAATAAATATATAGGGTGTCCTATTCGTGAGCGATCAAACAAAAAGTGAGATGGTTGATTGGGTCAAACTGAGAAGAAAAATCCTCTACCATTTTGCAAAATTCGCGTTGTCGCTTTTCCGCGATGCTAATTGGCTGTCTCGATTCGCGTTATATTCGCAGCGTTGAGCAGCTGTCATTGCGAGGGTCATTAACAGTTTGACAGCAGAGTTCGAAATAAAATTAAATAAAATCATGAAACGAAATCAGACAATCGCGCTGGTGTTTAGTACATATATAAAAAATAGACACAGAAGAATAAGTAAAACATTATTAAATTTTATCACGAGAATAAGAAATGCAGGCTTTGAAGTCTTATATGTGATTAAGAATCTTAGAGTCAATAGATACAGTTATTAAGAAATATGAACATGTGGAAGCATGAAGTGGAATATTACATCGAAAGTTTTTATGATAATTAACATATGATTGCTGAGTTACAAGGCCGTTACAGGAATGAGTATAAAGATTCGAAGAAGTAATAATAATCGATAGATTTTTATGATTAAATTGTTGAATAATTCCGATCAATCTGTAATTCAGATATATTTCATACGGTAAATGCAAGTGAGATATAAATATTCCCGCGTAATTACTGCTAATTATGTGTAAAATAGAGTACGTAACTATATGTATGATTTATTTGTAAATGTTTATGCGATAAGTATACGTTTTACTATAATGATCGTATATCTGACTTGACAGGAAAGAGAGTGGTTTCGTCATTTTGACGATGACTCATATCTGTCAGCGTGGACATTTGCAAAAATTCAATTCGCCAAACGAGGCGCTCACCTTTAAAGTTCTCGAGAGAAGTCATTGAACCTCTGTACGGCGGGCAAACCCATTAAAGACTGGCTAACGCGGGTGTAATAACGCGGGTTACACTACGGAAAGGGTTCGAGGTAAAAAAGTGCAAGGGTCGCTGAGGTGTTATTGAAAAAAAAAAAAAAATCGTATCGAACCTTGACAAAGAGTCTCGTATAAGTATAGAGAAAAAAAATGAATTTAATTCTCTTGTATGAGAGTTGAGTGTCGCTCATCTAGAATAAAAAATGTAAGAGCACGTTTCCATCGACATTACATACACATATTTAGACTTGTCATAAAGAAATTGCAATTAAAATTAATTAATATAATAAATATGATAAATTTAAATCTTCTCTTAAGATTTTTTATGTGCGTGAAGAAAATTTTATGAATTCAAAAATAATAAATGATATAATCATTTTCAAAATGACAGGAAATAATATTACACAGTTTTACAATCACATAAGTAATTAAAAAATAAATAAACTAAAATCTAATTACTAGTTATAATTACTAGTAAGAGTTATTATTATCATTACTCATATTAAACAACATATTGATAAACCTTTATATGCACTCACAATCGAATTCGCTAATAGCTTAACATGCAATAATAAAAATCTTATTAATGTAAATAGAATAATGAACTTTATTGACATAAGAAAAGAAAGATTAGATACAACAAAGTTAAAAATTTTGCAGACAATTCTACCAGTTGAATTAATCACGAATTAAGTTAATTAGAGTTAAACAGTGTTACTGTTTCGAATAAATATTATTTAATCAAAATATATTCAGATAAAATATGACATTTATATAATGTCTAAATATATCTTTAATAAATTTTCATTAGAAATTTCGCAATGACATTCTAACTATCGAAAATATTCGTAATAACATTTGGCAACATGAAAGGCGCAGCGATAGACTATTGTATTTGCCTCATTAGGAATACGAAAGGAGAACCGACTTAGGCGCGACTTAATGACGAAGGTGCGAACAAGCGTCTCCGCAGTTTCGTTAGAAAGATTTTAAAGTCCAAGAGCGGCGAGAGGAGAGATTGACAGGTACGCGGTCGAGTCTTAACGATCACCATCACCCATCACCTTTCCATACGTCAGCTGTTCATAAATCATAAACAGACGCGATGAAAGTATGTGTCGTGCGAAACGATCTTGCTAAATTAATATATAGAATCTCTCACGTCGTCAGATGAGAACTGGAGAAAGGATGTGTATATACTTTCGCAGAGCTCATAAGTGATAACTGAGATTTATCACGACCCGAGATTTACCCCCACACATACACACGTGGATAAAATCAATATATGTACGTCTGAGACATATACAATCACTAATAATAAATTAAACAAATTATTATTATATTTTATTGTTTTTCCAATAATAAATTAAACAACAAATATAACAAATGTAACAATAATAATTATTATCATTATTATATTATATTATATTATTTTTATTGATGTTATTTTTGCTATAATATATTATTAACTTTTTCTATTAATTTTTGTTAATATATTATTAATTTTTTCTATTAATCTTTGTTAATGTAAAATTACACGAGACTGTGTCGCGCCGAAGAAGAGAGAGTCGCGTGCAACTTTTGGTGCCGGAGAACAAGACTGATGACGTAAGCAAAGTCCGGGCGTGTTCCTTTCGCGAGTACACACGCGGATCGTGAGCCAAGATAAGTCGCGAGTCGCGTGCCGATCGCTTCCGCGTTTTGTACCGTTATTTAAGTGCGCGCGTATTTAAGTGTACGCGTTTGTGCGTACGAGCTGAGCCTTTGAAGGAGAGCCGAACCCTCTTTTCTTTCGAACCCCGCCTTTCCGTCTCCGTTTCCTCTTGGCGTGACCACAGACTCACGAGAGAACCTTACGCAAGAGACACCGAAAATTCAGATTTTGACGAAACTTTACACATATGTAAGAAGGATGAATTTAGAATTTAATAATTTTTAGATGCGACCCAAAAACAATTCTAAGAAGTAAAACCATCCCTTATATGTAGAAATATTCTTCGTTTTTCTTGATGTATTTTGAAAAATATTCGAGATGTCAGACAAATATTTTGTACAAAAGTTTCATGATTGAAATCTCTATTTAACCATTAATAATTTTGTATAAGATATTTTTTGATATTTCGAATACTTTCTATATATAAATTTCATAAAATTGGAGGGACAACAAAATTGTTCTAAATTTGTCTGATTATTCCTTCTAATTATGTAAAATTTCATCAAAATTACCCAATTTTCAGGCTTTCTTGTCAGTCATTTCTTAATCAACGTCTTTTATTCAGTCACAAAAGTAGTTGAGTTTTTTGGTGAATGAAAGAAATGTGGTTTTATCTGTAGATGTATTATTATAATGATACATAATTTTTCTCCATTTTTCATGTAACAGGTAATTGAGTACCAACTGCGTGTTTTCGACACACATTGCATTGCGATAATTGTGGCAGCTGCTGGGCTTGAATATTCTTTCCCGTTATATTTTAGGAGGTTTCCGAATACAAAGACTCTTTATATATTTTTTGTTTCGGGCGAAGAAAAGTTCGGACACACATTTTTAATTAACAATTAAATTTACTTTTAGTACCCGTTCAGAAGGGTTAAGTATAATATTCAATGTCAATAATCATAAACACTTTATTTATCAAATCGGTTATTCGGAAACTTTTTAAAATCTTTGTAACTTTGAAAAAAAATTAAAAATTAAAGTAATTAAAAATAATTAAAATTTGGAAAAATAATTTAAAAAAACACAATCGTGAAAATTCATTTGAAATCAGACCATTGTGCGGTAATTAAGTCTTTGATATTCCGGATGTAGCAGAGCGTGTATTGTTGCGCTGAATACAATGGAAGTATCAGAGGGATTATTTCGAAATATATTCTCTTGTTGCCCACCTTTGGACTCTACCTTTGGACAAACGAAACGAAATTTAGCAGTTTCGCGACTCGCCTTTATGACATCATCGTATACGTTGACTTAGACGATTGAAAAAAAGAGGGACTCATCCGATTCGAGATTGCGGAATCCGATCGTACGGTAATCGATAATTATGTCAGAGAAAGATCTCGGAGAACTCAATATCCATAGAATTTTATGATAAGCGCAGCGCAAAAATGCGGCCGGAATCGAATCGCGCACAATTAATGATCCCTGAAAGACCCAATAAAGGAGCCAAGTCTTGAGTCAAAGATCACAACCGCTTAGAATTCTTCCTCGAGTTCAATATCGGTCCTCTTATCATCGCACAATCCGCGGTATATCGATCCTTTCATCTTTTTGTCCCATATGATCATTAAGTCCCCGGCTAAATTGCGCAATAAACTCTATCGATCTACGATATAATATAACTGATCTCTCTTTCCCTCTCTATCTCTGGGCTCCTGACTTCGCTGACCTTCGGTTAAATCATCATCAAGCGTATGTTAATCGCAAACGCTGGGTGCTCATGCTACATCTCATTAAACAGTTCCTTCTACCTGTTATTGGATAAGTAGGTGATAAGTAAAACTTGTATTTGTTTTATATAAAAAATAGATAACTGATAGTCGAAGTTCAGTTTCTAGAAAATTGTAACTTACGGTAAAGATAACATTTTGCTAAATATAAATATTAATCAAAGCTTTGAATAAAAAATAATACAAAGCATTGACTTTAATTAACCCAAAAGTGGATGACATTATAGTCATCTAAATTTGGAATTTTCTTTCTTATTTTTCTCATGTGTTAATCTTTTTAAAATTCCAGT